GACTCAGGCGCCCTAAAAATCATGACATTCAAAATCCCAATCTTCAGATACAAACCCAGGACTCCATATTCAGAAGCAAAGCATTTAAACATTCAGCCACCAAGCCCATATTTAACTAATAAACATGTATACAGATATATGTGACATATATATATATTATATGTTATTATATATATATATATATATATATATATATATATATATATATATATATATATATATGTATTATATATATATTTTATGTATGTATATGTATATGTACATATACTTTTATTGCTTTTTTGTGACAAAACTGTTAATCTTAAATTTGATGGGTAAAGTATATTTGTATGTCAAATTAGAATAAAAAAATTTTAAATGCATTTACTCAGAATACATTAATAAAAAAAAAAATTATTTTCATTATGAAATTCATATCTAATTTCCATTTATTAATAATTAAATTCTTAAAATAACATTAGCCATTTAAGACAAATTAGGTCAGTGGTAGGAGAAATAGTTATATAAAAACAATTTATCAAATAGTCAAATCTGGTAAACTTGTACCAAAGTATCAAAACAATATTATAACACACATTTTGTTTTATTTGCATAATGGGATTCAAATTTCTGTTTGATCTGGCCAATGAACATGAGAGCATATAAGAAAAAAAGAAGCCACAAGTAAGAAATGTGGAAAAGTTAAACAGGTTGAAATATTAAGAAAAATTTGTATCTATTGAAAAGAGCTTTCATGCTATGATGAAAATGAAGATAATGGTGTGGCTATTGCTGCTTGACAACGCAGGATGCTGGTAATGCACTGAAACTTTGTGCTTCTATTTTGTGCAGTAGACAAAAAGTTCAAACTCTGGGCTAGATATTTGTGATTTTGAAGTTTGTGAAGAAAAAGGTGTCAGATCACACTGGATAAGTTTTACAAACATTTACTGAAGCTCAGTAAGAACTAAATTATACTTGGCACGCATACATTTTGTTGTAGATTATTTTGAAAAACTTTGCAATTTATTTTTTGATTAACAAAGTTGGTAAGCAAATGAGATCCAATTAAACAAATTCACCTGTACATTACATTTTTTCCTGACCCCAACTAACAGGCAAGAAACTTATATTTGAAACAGTTTTTTATATTTCTGATGCATAATTATATAAAGACTATTGAGATGAATTTTTTCCATGTACATACAAAGAGAAATTGAATTTTACAGTGTGGGGTACTTCAAGTTGGAAATCTGTAGCTGTGATGTCTAGGGTACAAGTCATACAAAGCATAAATACCAAAGTTGTTATAAACCAGAGCACTGACCTTCATCCAGAAGTCCTCATACAAAGCACAGGCTATCATACATCTCTCAAACAAAATTACTATCCTAGTGTGATTGCCCTGACTAATTTCTTCATCTAAATATTCCCGCCAGTTCTTTAACTGACCCCTCTCCAGCGGTTTAACATGAAAGTATGGCCGTCGAATCTATTGAGATAAAAATAAAAAAGCAATGAAATGTTCCTCTTTAAAAGAAAATTATTTGTTTTAGGCATTGTATGTGTTTATCATTTGGTTCTTTTAATTAGAGAGAAAGTCATGACTAATTTTAATACCTTAAATTCAACACTCTAATGAAAAAGAAATAATTTAAGTCCTCTTATTTATTTGATATTATTAAATATGATCCACATACATTCTCTTCAAAAGTCCACCTTTTGCTAACTTCTGCTTCATTCTGTTTAAAAATTGTCTCCCTTGACTCAATGTATTTGACTCGAACTTTCTTGACTTCTTTTTCATCTCCCTAACTCAAAGGAAATGAAAATAAGTCTATTTATGTATTTTATATGTATTGTTTAATATTAACTGTTCACAATACATTACATAAGATTGGAAATATTTAGACATTTTAATATTTTTTACATAAGTTGCTTAAATACCAAAGGAAAAATTATTTAAAACAAAACTTTAATTAAAATATGAAAGTTTTGTAAACGCTTTTACATTAAAGTAGAGTATTTAGAATTTCCTTTGTGAGACTACACAATAAAACTAAAACAAAAAGGACAAAGAATTTTAAGAGATTTTTAAAATCATCATTAAGGTAAGTGCATTTTTAAAAAGCATAATTACAATGTTGCTAGGTAGGTTACCATTGTAGCCAACATGCCAGGAGGAGCGTCCAACTCCATGCTGTCCCCAACTTGCAAGGCCTCGTCAAGCCCTACCTCATCCTCGTCATCAATATGATAGTTGGAGGACTTGTTGAGGATCTCTGATCTCAGTTTCAAAAAAGTGTCAATGTCTAGAAATTCTTTGGGGTGATGTGAGTTGATGTGTCTCTTGTAACTAAAAGATGTGCACCAAGTTGAAGTGAAATTAATGGATGAGTTCTTTCAAATCTCTAGACTAGCAATGAAAACAAATGTAGGTGGTGGATGTGTATGAAGCTGAGAGGAGAAACAAAAGTGGCATGCTTTGAGCTGATGTATGTAATATTATGAAACATGTTAGTACAAATGAGAACATTGGAAATGGTATCTCACTGGCAATGGAGCCTCATCAATGGCCTGCTGACCACAAAACTGAAATTTAAACGGTATGGTCATACCATGGATTTCCTCGGGGGCTTGTAAAGATCTTCCTGCAGGAATGTGTACCAAGGAAAAGAAGAAAAGGATGAGAAGACAACATCAAAGAATGTGAGTTTCTAGTCAAGGGGCAAGACAGAGAGGAATGGAGAAAGGTGATGGACAAATCAACAGCCTAACAGACTAAGGGATAGACGAGGTGAGGGTGGTGAACTGATATCATTTTCACTCAAGTCTTTTTTTGGTTGAGCTTTTGAGTTTTAAAAATATGTTCTTAAAGTCAGTTTCATCTATTATAATTATAACAATAAGATTAAGTTAAAATAGAGTAATATTTGTTGCTTCTATTTTGTAATATTTCCAACAAGAAAGATATTTCCATTTTCTTTTAATGGTCTTTTTAAAATGTAGGCCTACTTTCAGTTAGGAACAGAAATCTTGTGTATAAAAAACTAATGTTTTAAGTCAATTTTATGTATAGATATACTTATAGAAAACAATATCTTGAAGAGTGTTTTAGAATGTTTTTTTTTTTTAAATTAAAGAGTGGTCATTCTTAAAAGCTTTAACTTTAGACAAAACTAAAAATTACCTTCAAATATGGTCTCTATGGGATGTGTGGCTGAGTGGCAAAACCACTTAGCTACCTATCAAAGAGACTCAAGTTCAAATACCAGCTCAAACTGAATTGTGTTTGCTGAATGCCTAACTACAGCATGGGAACCTTCTCCCAGATACCCCCTCCCCTCACTGTTCATCAAAAGAGATTGAAATAGCGCTCTAAGAATGAGATGTACACTATGCAAAAGCAATTTCTAAAAAAAAAAATTGATAAGGTACACAAAAGAAATTATTATCATTATTTGGATTTTTCTAATTAATGAAATGTTTGTAGTACCAAAAATTATTATTATTCACTATTCAGAATTGGATTGTAAAAAGAAAATTAAGACTTACTTGTCCCAGTGGTGACTGTATAATTGTGTAGGTGTGCGAATCAATCTCTCATAGATGCCAGTGACTGCCTTCAAGTTACCGTTCATATTCTCCCAAGCAATGTAAGAGTCCCAAAGCTTATCAGACCGAAACTCTAGACCAGTTGCTGATAAGGCTCTTTCATAGAGTCTGTGCAAAAGTAAGGAGACAAAGGTATTATCTGTACCATTGTTGCTGAAAATATTAAGCCAGTGCTTACAAATATGTTTATGACTTGAATGAATAACTTGAGGATGTTTTCAGGTCATTTACAACTAAACTACACCCACTCAATGCATCTTTTCAAGTGAAGAGTCCAGCAATCAAAACAGTTCTCAAAATATTAGGTTTGAAGAGAGAAAGTATCTCATCAACAACTGAAAAGAAACCCTTTTACATGTAGACTTGCTTCAGGGTTGATATGGGAGTCATCAAACCAATATTGTAATTATGAACTCCATTTTCTTGCTAGTTGCATAATGTGAAGTTATAGAGTTTTCTTGGGGCAACCTGCAAGCCACTGGGTGAGGTATACTTCAGTTACCAATTCACATTTCACCCAAGTGCTATTGCAGCCTTCAATCTATCAAGTATCCAAAGAAATGTGAACATAGCCTGAATAGACTCGTTTTTTTAGAGGCTCCTTTTTCTGACACACCACAGAATGCAATTTTGTTTTAGGATCAGGGTTGCAGAACTACATCTTTTCACCAGTGATGATTTGCTTCTAAGCTGCAGACTTGCCTCCCATGCACAAGAACCTTTGCATGCAGTGACAAAGATAACACGAGAGTAGCTTTTTACTCTAGAGAGAGAATCTGAGAGATTCATTTGGCAGTTTTTTTGATGAAGCCAAGTTCTTTGGCCAGGACTTAAGAAAATGATATGGTATCTATGTCAAAAAGGTTTCCTAAAATTTGGAGGGTTTTTTTTTTGCTAATCTTCTTTAACTGCTGGTTTCACAACAACTACATATTTGTCGCCCATGCAGTAATGGGCACCAATAATGAGGGGCCTGTTCAGCGAATGGCTTGAACCAATTGGTAACCATGGAAAGGTTTTATTAATTAATTTTCACAAAAAAACAGTATTAACTTTAAGGCCCTTCGGTGGCTTCAGTTCCAAAGGAAATGTAAAGAATAAGATCCAAGATGTAACTCTAACTGAACTTCACTTTTTTCACATTGCCAGCATTACCTAAGGGGGACACAAAAACTGATTACTTACAAAACGTGGAAGAACAAAGGAAAAATCCCTTACCACCTCTGCAGGCATAAAATAGTCAAATTAATGAATTTTTAAAGAAAGAAAAAAAAAAAACACTATATAGAAATTTATACAACTCTTTTAGTCTACTAGTATATTGAAATCCTTGATTAAGAATAGAAAAAAAAAAATACTTATTAAATATAAAATATATAATATAATATAAAATATTTTACATATATAAGATATTTGGTTGCATAATATTCCTTTATGGCTCAACATTTTTTTTTATCTTAATTGAATTATCTTAACTCAGGAAACACAAGAAAACAAACTATATTTAAATCTTTAAATAACATGAACAGTTGGATACAAATTTGATATGAAATGTGTACTTCTCCTTCCTTAGAGAAGAAAACACAAAAAGAACAAAAGGTTTCCAAAGTTACTTTTTAATTCTGTCCTTAGAATTGTTGTCAGAAGAAAACTCTGTGATAAAAAAGTTGATGTAATGGAGCCACAGCTCAACACTTAGTGGAATACCTCGCAGACCTTTCTCAAAAACCTGAAACAAATGTGTAAAAAAGAAACATTATGTCAACTGGGTAGAGAGAAAATAAGTCGAAAATGTGTAAAAATAGCGAGCGACAACACCTTATATTTGAGGTGGTGCACGAACGACGAAGTTTCTTCGAGTTTCGATACAGTGCAAGTGTTAGTGTATTACCATAAAAAGAAGCTCAGAGCAACTGTGGTGGCCACTCCCTTGGTGGGCTCAAGATTTTTTAACTATCCCCAGTGGTGGGCCAGAGACACAATCACAATGTGGACTGGCACAAGGTGTTGGATGAATACAATTGACCAGTTGGTATGATGTCCTTTAGGAGATGCAAATAAAGCATGGCTATTTATAACAAAAAAAAAACAACCAGTTTCAAGCTGACCACATAAATGAGACTACAGTAAAAAAAATATTTTGAAAGTTTAGCTAACTTGTAAAGCTTAAAATTATTTTTCATACTTTTTTAAAAAGTAGTTTTAACAAGTATTTATCTACATTAAAAAACTAGTGTAATCAAAAAAGATACCCACCTTAAAAAGTATTTTTAGAAAACATGTATTTAGATTTTATAATAGTTTTTGCTAATATTTTAGAGCTATATTTACACTAAAATACTTCTAACAAATTTTTTTGGTAAAATTGTCTACCAAAATATTCTACATTTTAAAATTCTTTAACCATTTTTTTAAAGGCTAAAATACTTTTAGCCAATATTTATTAGCATTTCAAGTACTTTCAGCAAATTCTATCTGCATTTTAAAAAAAAGGTTTTAGCAAATATTTGTACTTATTGGAAATATTTTTTTTTAATTTAAAAGAAAAATTTAAAAACTTTAAAAATTATTTTGGAAAAATAAATTGAAAAACAAAACAATTAAAAAAGAAAAAAAAAGTAGAATAGACTCATTTTTTAGGAAACTTAACAACAAGTGTAAAACAGGGCATATTTTTAGACCAGCATGTTTACTTACATGTTTAACTTACAAAAGTTGAAATGGCTGGAGTTAGTGATAGCTACATAAAATGTTTAAATACAAATCATTAATTAACATTGTCAAGTAAAAGTACCAGTAGGGAATGAAATTCAGTGATTACTCCCCCCCCCCCCCACCCAAAAACCAAATGATCTAAAAGCATGCCCATGTTAAAACAACAAAAGATTTATATAAACCCTTTAAAAATTGGGATTTAATAAGTAAAGAAGTATAAAAGAACAAAAAAAAACTTACATAGTAAGTATAGAAAAAGCTAAAAAAAAAACAACAATGTGGCTTACTTCTTTGGCTTTTTCTGGGTTGCCATGTTTCTTTTCCATGTCACTATACTTCTTCCAGTAACCATAGCAATAAGGGTAGTGAGAAAAAAACGCTTCATAAGCCCTACGGCAGTCTGCTGGATCACTCTAGAGGAGAAGTTTTTTTTAAACTATCAGAAATGTTTAGCCTAGATGCTTTGTTTTAGAAGTTCCAATTTTTTGTCATCAATGGTAAACAGCACTATTTGAAACAATGTGTTGATCAGTGAACCAAAATGACATTAATATGATAAATAAAGTAAGAATAAGTAAAGTTCACCTTTCAGACCTTGCGATCTATAGGGCAGATGATGTATAGGTGCCCAAAAATCCCAAAATTAAAAATTCCAGTCCTCACCAGGATTCGAACCCGGGACCCCAGTTCAAAAGCCAAATGCTTTACCGCTCAGCCACCATGCCTCCAATTTGATAAATAAAAGTAAAAGTAAAGTTCCCTTTTCAGACCTTGTGGTTTACGAAGGTGTCATGTGGACAGCACAACGACCAACTGCCTTTACTTTTCCCCAACTAATGTCAGGTACCTATTAGCGCTGGGTGAACTCAAAGGTGCTCAAAAATCTCAAAATTAAAAATCCTAGTCCTCACCAGGATTCGAACCTGGGACCCCTGGTTCAGAAACCAAGCGCTTTACCGCTCAGCCATCACGCCTCCTAATATGATAAATAGTGGTAAAGAAGAATTGCAGTTGTTTTTCTATTTCTGTATACCATTGACAAAAGTATTTAAAACATAGCAAGACCAAGTGAAATAGGTATACATAAACACAATCCACGGATATCTCATAATTGACAAAATGTAAACATAAAATACTTATAAATAATCTGTGTTTCATTTGTACTTTATATTTCCTAGGTCAGGTTAGCTAAAATTATAAATCTTAACAATAACCACCAAGAACCTAAGTTAGAACTGTTGGAAGAAACAAAGCAAATGCTAATTTTGAGCTCAAAATACCTCTTGTTCCACATACTGCAACAAGTAAGTCCAGCCAGTAAAATCCATAGGATTGTCATCAACAGTTTTCCAATACTTGCCCAGTTCCGTTTCTTTTCTTAATTTTTCTTCCTGCTCTTTCTGCGCCCTATCCTGGTCATCTTCAGTTGACTCTTCCTCAATAGTTGGTCCAGTATTGCTAGAGGATAGTGTATCTGTTGTTTCTTTAAAAAGAAAATGTAAAATATATATTGAAAATTATATTTATATATATATATATATATATATATATATATACATGGATGCAAGCGACTGAGCCCCATTTTGCCTGTAAAGGTGGGTAAACAACCACAAAAAGCCTGCAAGAGAATGGGTGGGCCTGCTATTGAAAGAGATTCTATCCAAGGCAAAATACAGTGAGGAATGGAGAAAGATGGTTGACAAATCTTGTGTGGTGCCCCAACAGTCCAACAGACTAAGGGATAGGTGAAGCTGAAGATATATCACAGTCATTTCAATTTTAGTGACGATGTGACGGTGAAGATATTTATATCATGGTCATTTCAATTTTAGTGACGATGTGATGGTCTTGTAAATGAACGATGTGATGGTCTTGTAAATGAACGTTTTCTTATTAGTCTAAACTTATTTGATAATAATATAATTCATATGATTATATGACATTCTCCATAATCTACCTGCTAGAGATTCTAGATCTATTATATATAAACGTTTCACTATCCAGGCTCTCTGCAAACTGCACCACACGACACAACCAACTCAAAGAGCTTGACAACTCAGTGCTCCAAAGTAAAGTAACAGTTTTTGATGTCCAATACATCACAGCCAATACTGTACAATTGGCAACAACATAACACTGACTGTATAAAAACTTCACCTCTTCCTTGCCTTGTACTCAATTCTGTTCCAGATCGAATTCACAAAGTGCTGGTTCTGACTCTGACTTTGCCTCGTACTTGTGACATTGTGACTCTTATATAGGGTCACTAAAGGCCTTCTAGAACCGGAAGGAACATCGCTCGACCATTCACTACACCCATCTGTGTCACCACCAGATTTATTACAATACTTATTTAGATCATGACAAGAGTGACTAGACCTAGTGTCTAAATCTAAAGTACATTTAAAATTAAGATACTAAGACTAAGATAATAGATGAATCTAGTACAGTGATGCCCAACCATATTCTGCCTGTGGCCAAATAAATGTTCAGCACTCATTTTCCAAGATGCATCTGCATAGAAAACTCACAAAAACGTGATACAATGTTTGTCTCATTTTTAAAAGAGAATCTTCCCCATATCTTCCTCTTGAGTTGTAATTGTGAGAAAGACAGAATGGTTCAACTGCATTCCTTTTTACATCGACATTGTCTAGATCTAAACTATGCCTATATATCACTGCTACCAAGCATTAGAAACGATCTGAAAAAAATGGATTTAAATTACTTAAAACGTGACAAATTCAGTTAGTTTGCCATTATCGCCCATGCCGTAGCAACAATGACACAAAGAGGTTCAATTCATGATTAATAGGAGCAGGGTGCCATAAATTATAAAAAAGAATTTAAAAATAGTTAAAATTTTAATATTTATATATATTCATATTATTGTAGGCCTATAATATGTTTTGATGTGTTGAATTCTGAGATAACTTTACTAAGCATCCATGTGTAGTTATCATTATTAAATTATAATTTTCATATTTTATAATTATATGCGTCAATGTTTCCGAGGGCCGAAATCATGCACCACGCAGATGGCCAGGTTTGGCCCACAGGCCGTCGCCGTATCATGTGTAGATCTATGTATGTTCAATTTGGGCTTCACTGACACTCACTTCAAGTCACTTGACTCACACTGGTGACTAGTTTAGTGACTGTTCGTGATCTAGATCTAATATCTATGACTATTTCAATGTGAATGTCTGTCTTATTGTCTAGTCTAGAGTCTACTGAGTAGTAGTACTAGTCTAGAGTACTCTAAAGTCTAGAATAGTCTAGATCTAGAATCTAGTCTCATAGTCTTAGATTATAAATTATATAATCGAGTCTAATATTTAGTAGAAAGTACTAATATAAGTAATATAATTAGAGTAACTTACATCTATCGAAGATAAGATATCGGTAAAACGATGTTCGATAATTTAAGCTTTTGAAAGCATCGACCTGACCCACTTTAACATCAAATATAAGTTTAACTATGAGTAGTAATAGAATAAAACATGTCTACTTTTTAAGAAAAATGGATGATGAATTCAAAGATACAATCAGTTTTCTTCTAAGGTCTAATTTTTACGGAGATACACAAATTCAAACATAAAAAATGTCGGCGACTGAGCTTAACTTGTTTGATAAACGTAAGTTACTGTAAATATAATTATAATTTATTTATAAATTATATTTTAAATTTATATAGAGTACAACTGACTCTATCTATTTGAGGCTGACATCACATTCTAATGGTCGATCAATTATTGATGATCTCTGGATACAGTGTCTTGAATGTTTCTCTCCCCCCCTTTTTTTTTACCTGACAACGACATTTTTATTTCAAAATACCATATCTAGATTCTATACCTCCCCCTTTGCCCTTTCGTTTTATTAATATCTCTTCATATCAAGCACATGCGCTAGGTATTGGT